ATTATATTTTAACAGCGGCTGTAAATGCATTAATTTGGAGAGAGAGAGAGAAAGGAAAGACAACAAAATGTTTTTCTTTTTTCTCCATCTGCAATGCATCTCTGATGAAAGATGCAACTAGTCACAATAAAATGAAATGACCTTTTTCTTTTTGTTCATAGTTCTGTGATGTAGTAATATTTACTACTTTGAGGACACTATGACCAGGCATGTCAAATTTCTTGAAATTCTATTTTCACTTTTCTGAAATGGGCAGCTAAGTCAGAAAAAAAAAGAAGTAAAGTCTCCAAAAGGTAGGGGATTGGGATTATGGCTAGAAAACACTGTTTTTCATTTGTTTGTTTTTTTAATGTCTAGCACTTTGGCTGGGGGCTGTTCAGCTCAAATAATGAATGATTTTTCAGGATTCTCAGCTCAGGATCTGGGGCACCAACACTCTGCCCACCTGAGAACTCCCTACCTCTGCCCGTGCCCAGGGCTCCACCTCAGCCCCAGTCCTGTCAGCTGCTCCCCAGTGAGGCTGCAGCAGGATCAGGCTCCAGATCCCCATAATCCTGCCTGGCCATGGGATCCACTGAGCCAGGCCCATATCCTAGCTTGATCTTGGCTTGTCCCAAGGGAGGTGCTCTTGGCTGGGGTGGCAGAACATGAGACAGGTTCAAAGGACACCTGTGGGGAGCTGCTTACCCACATGGTGACTCAAGGGGTGGACGTTTGCAGTTGGCTTACAAAGCTTTTCAGCTCCAGCAGTTCTAATATGGAAAGATACATTCTGTAGCTTCTGAAAGTGATCTCAAATTGAACGCAGTGCCATCATGTCTGTATGGCTTCTCATCTCACCTGTCTTCAGTGTGGGGAAGTGAGCAGCCTTGAACCCTGTGCTCTCTCTGTTTCAGCTGGCAGTTGAATTTGAAACTTGGAGTGTTTTAATTACTTGTGCTTTGATAGTATTTATGCTCTGTCAAACAGATACCTATAGGGATTTTTTAGAGATCAGTTGAGGAAGGCGGAGAGCATGTAATTCTTTATAGACTTCAGCTGAGAAAAGGTCTCCTCGCTCTTTTTTTAATCTTTCTTTTTCCATGTGCTAGTCAGTAATGTTGAGGGCAGTGAATTTAGCTTTCTCCCCACTGTGGTGGAGAATCTGGAAGGATATTAAAGTCTTAGAATCATAGAATCACTCAGGTTGGAAAAGACCTTAAAGATTATTGAGTCCAACCACGACCTAACCATACTATCCTAACTAACAACTTTCTGCTAAGTCATGTCCCTGAGCATCATATCCAAACGGTTTTTAAACACATCCAGGAATAGTGACTCAACCACCTCCCTGGGTGCCTATTCCAGTGCTTAACAACCCTTTCTGTAAAGAAGTGTTCCCTGATATCCAACTTAAACTTACCCTGGTGCAACTTGAGGCCATTTCCCCTCACCTGTCACCAGTGAGAAGTGGCCAACCCCTCTCTCGCTGTAAGCAACTTTCAGATATTGGAAGAGAGCAATAAAGTCTCCTTTCAACCTCCTTTTCCGCAGACTAAACAGCCCTAATTCCTTCAGTCTCTCCTCATAGGGCATATTCTCCAAGCTCTTCACAAGCCTTGTTATCCTTCTTTGGACCTGCTCCAGCACCTCAATGTCCTTTTTATACTGAGGTACCCAAAACTGAACACAGCACTCGAAGTGAGGCCTCACCAATGCTGAGTATAGGGACAGGATTACTTTCCTACTCCTGCTTACCACACCATTCCTTATACAAGCCAGGATGCCATTGGCCTTCTTGGCCACCTGGTCACACTTCTGGCTCATATTCAGCCAACTGTCCATCAGTACACCAAGATCCCTTTCCATCAGGCAGCTTTCCAGCCACTCCTCCCCAAGCCTCTAGGGTTACCTGAGATTGTTGTTACCAAAATGCAGGACCCGACACTCGGCCCTATTGAAACTCATAGTTTGCCTTGGCAATCAATCCAGTCTATCCAGGTCCCTCTGTAGCGCCCTTCTCCCCCCAGGCAGATCAACACTCCCTCCCAAGTTGGTGTCATCTGCAAACATAGTGAGGGTGCACTCAATACCCTCATCAAAATAATTAATAAAGATGCTAAATATAAGTAAGTGGCCTCAGTACTGAACCCTGGGGGACACCACTCATGACCGTCTTTTGAATATACTCGTGATGTGAGAAAAATTTACCATGTGTATTGCTCATGGAAACAGGGTTGCTTGGTTGTCATTTGGCAGAGCTGTATAACATCATTCCTCTAGTCTGATGTGATGAACATCAAGGGTCTACTACATGCTTCATAACTCTCATAATTTCTTATGAAGTATATAGGATGTGCTAAATAATAGAATGGCTTTCATTTAATGTTGCAATTCAATATTGAATTATGCAGACACAATCTTTTTTACCTATGTGTATTTGTGACAAAACCACAACTCAATTATTATACATTCCAGTTTCTTTTTAAAACAGATATGTTTGTCATTTTTAATACCTTTCAGTATATCTTGTTTAGAGCAGCCTTTGTTACACTACAAAGGTGAGAGTTGCTTCTGAAATCAGGATTAAATCATCTTGTCCATCTGTATGTATTTGTCTCAAGTAGATAAGAGTCTTCTGTTAAATCAGCTAATTATCTGTCAATTTTCGTCAGAGAGGCCCACAGATTTGTTTTAAAAACTTGATGACATATCTGAAATTTTCAAATTTTCTGTTGCTAGTATCACTTCTGTCACTAAAATCCACCTGAGGGTGCTGAGGGAACTGGCAGAGGTGATAACCAAGCCACTTTCCACTATCCATCAGTGTTCCTGATTGACCAGCGAGGTCCCAAAGGGTTAGAGGCTTGCCAATGTGACTCTCGTCTACAAAGATCTGGGGAACTACAGGCCTGTCAATCAGTCTGACCTCAGCACCACATAAGGTTATGGAGCAGATTATCTTGAGAGAGATCACATGGCATCTGTATAGGACAACTAGGGGATCAGGTCTGGACAGCATGTATTCATGAAAGGCAGGTCCTGCTTGAGCAACCTGAACTTCTCTGATTGAATGACCTCGTGGATGAGGGAAACGCTGCTGCCTTAGTCTGCTTAGACTTCAGCAAAGCACTTGACACTGCCTCACATATTATTCTTCTGTAGAAGCTGGCAGCCCATGGCTTGGACAGATACACTCTGTAGTAGGTAAAAAACTTGCTGGATGGTTGGAACCAAAAGGTGGTGGTGAATGGAATTAAATTCAGCTGGTGACTGGTCACAGGTGGTGTTCCCTAGGGATTGGTATTGGGGGCTTATGCTGTTCAACATCTTTATTGGTGATCTGGATGAGGAGGAGATTAGAGTGTACCCTCTGTAAGTTTGCAAATGACGCCATATTGGCAGGAAGGATCGATCTGCCTGAGGGTAAAAAGGCCCTACAGAAAGATTGGGACAGGCTGGATATCTGGGCTGAGGCCAATAGGACAAGCTTCAACAAGACCAAATGCAGGGTCCTGCACTTTGGCCACAAAAACCCTAGGCAACACTACAGGCTTGGGGCAGAGTGGTTGGAAGACAGTATAAAGGAAAAGAAGTTGGGTATGTTGGTCAGTGCTCAGCTGAACATGAGCCAGCAGTCTGCTCAGGTGGCCAAGAAGGCCAATGACATCCTAGCTCATATCAGAAATAGTGTTACCAGCAGGAGCAGTGATCATCCTTCTGTATTCAGCTCTGTCTGGTGGGGGTGCACTTTGAATACTGTGTTCAGTTTTAGGCTCCTGACTACAAGATAGACATTGAGGCCCTACTAGAGCATGTCCAGAGAAGCCAATGAGGGGTCTGGAGCACTTATAAGGAGCAGCTGAGGGAACTGGGATTGCTTAGTCTGGAGAAGGGAGGCTCTCTAGAACTGCTTGAAGGGAAGTTGTGATGAGGTGGGGATCAGCCTTTAATCTCTTGTAACTAGCAATAAGTCTAGAGGGAATGGCCTCAAGTTGCTCTAGGGGAGATTCATGTTGGATGTTAGGAAATACTTCTTCTCTGAAAGAGTGGTCCGGTGTAGGAATGGGTTGCCCAGGAAAGTGGTGAAATCACTGACTGTGGAGGTGTTCAAGAAAGATATTGTACCAAGGGACATGGTTTAGCAGGAAATACTGGTGATATGTGGAGAGTTAGACTAAATGATCTTAGAGGTCTTCTCCAACTTTGGTGATTCTGTGATTTAAAAATGGATTCTGAGTGAGTTTCTTAGGAGAAAAAGAACATTTTTTGTTGTGCTTTCCAAGCTGTTCACAAGGTGCTCAAATGATGTAGAATGATAAGAAGATTATCCCAGTTTCTGTGGCCTGGAAGGCTCCTGTTTGATGGCATAGAGCAAAGAACCAGGAACTTTCTTGTGTTCTGCTTTCTGTTTTCAGGACAGATTTAATTATTACATAGTCCTGTGTGGGGCTGATGGACTTGATGATCCTTATGGGTCCTTTCCAACTCAGGATATTTTACTTCTTTAAGTTGTGTGGTAGACCTCCTTACAGTTACAGCTGAAATTAGTTTTAATTTCAGGCTGACTCCTATCTTAATTAGCATTCAGCACTTTCTACCTGAGTTGATTTATGTGAGGAAAAAATTCTTTCTGCTATCTCATTTTTTGTGGAATAGGCACCAATCATTTCAAAAGTGGTAAGAAACTGAGAGAACAAAAGCTTAGAGGTGACTCTATGTAACTTCTTAAAGTGTGATTCTTGGTGTGAATGACTTGTTTGTATTCATTTTCAGACCTGCACCTGTAGTTTTATAACTTCATCACCAGTTAGCTTTGTTAGAGTACTGCTGAACCAGACTGTAGAAGTGCCATTTGCTAAAGTTCAAACATGAATTTATAATTTTCTGAGTTTTTGATAGCTATTTAAATAACAGCAGACCTTAATTTGATGAAGTAATTTTTGTAAATTGTTTAACTTTACCTTCAATAAATGGCATAAACAGTAACAGCAACAACAAAAAAAATCTTGTTTTCACAGGAAATTACAAAATTTCAAGGAATTTAAGAGAATCTTGGAGGATGATAGTCACTGGTAGAATGGCAGGGACTGTATTAGAGGAAAAATAATGAAGATCAGCTGTGCTTAGAAGAACTACATAAAGAAAATGAAGCCATTGGCCTGAACCACTGATTGATCACCTGAGAAAAGGACTGAGTCAGTTGGGAGCACAGGTGAAGGTAATTCAGCTGTGAATTCATTTAGACCCCCCGCATTTAAGGGCTGACTGCCACTAGGGAACGGTCTCTTTCTGGACGTCTCTTCTCTGTGGAGTCTTTCTTGCAAATCTGGATCTTTGGATATAGGTGAGTATTCGTTCCACTTTTGTTTCTTTTCCCTCTTTCACCATGATAATCTTTCTAGCTGTAATACCAACTGTAACAGTGTAACAGAAGCTGCTTTTTTTGTTTTTTTTTTCCTGTTGCTTTGTTCTGCTTTTATGCTGCTGAGAGTCCAGCTGAGAAACTTCTGCATAAACTTCAGCCCTGTGGCAAATATTTGTCTTTTTTGAGCCATGTGAAATGATCTTCCAAGTTGTTCTGGATAGAATAAGTTGTCTTTTTAGGGACTGGATGTCAGTGGGATGCAATTAGTAGAGTCACTGGAGTGTCTATGATCTGAGAAAGGAATGTAGAAATATAAAAATTCTCAGTTAGTAATCAGGAGCAAAGCTTACCTATGCTCTGTATTTTCAGTGCTCTAGGCCATTAGGTTCTCTATACCATGTATCTTTCCCACAGAAAATATGCAGGATAAGTCTTTAAATGTTGAATGATTAAGCTTACAGTAAAATCTTGGCTAAACTCATTTTAAGGTAGATTAGAGCTATTCTAGAAGCTTATCTCACTTTTTCCTTTCATTTTGGTGTCATTGCTAAAATTAGTTTATAAAGCAGTTTATGATATTTAGTTTTATGGGTTTCCTTTCTCCTTATTTATTTATTTTTTCATACAAGCTGTAATGGGTAAAATTTGAATGATAAATCTAGATAGTTGGGTTTCCCAAGCTATTGCATTGATACAGGTGTAGAAAAAGGTAATTTACCTTAAACACATTTTAAAAACTCTTTGGATGTTAGTTTTGGTTGAGCTCCTTCAGTGAAATTCTGTGCTGAAAAGGCCACTTAATGCTTGTTTTTTATTTCCATCTTTAAAGAAAAAGAAATACAGGAGATAAACAAAACAAGAGTTTATTCTTAAGCTAGGGAATAAAAAGTTATCTTGCCTGACTTTTGTTTCAGCCCTTTCTGAATTTTAAAAACTTAAATAACTTTATTTTCCATTTGTAGCTCTGTTTTTTGTCTCTTGGTCTTGCCTATGACTATTTATTTCTACCTGCAAATGGGCGTTTTCTGGAATTCTTGGACTTCTGTTTGTGTAAGTCTGGCACCACAGATGAGTTTTGTGAGTGGAAGGTCCCTGCAGATCTCCTGACTAATTCTTTGAATGTAAAGCTTTTATTTACATTAGTAGATTTCTCTTCCATATGATTATAAGTAAAATAAGCTGAGAGTTCCAATGTTTATTGAAAGGTAGACACCTATAACATAAATTATGTAGAAACTCAATTTCTGCATAAGTGAGAATTTCTCCATTTCTTCTTCCCAAAAGATCAGAAGGATCTTTAGTTCTAGATCTTGATTATTAAAGGCAAGAAGCAGTGCAGCGTCGAACTTCATTGGTGTCTTTGTGTGATGTATCCTAGCAGTTGGTACAACCCATCACTTCTGGAACTAATGTATGAATAGCTAAGTGTGACTTGGTTCAGTAGAGTATGTGTAAAGAGATGTCTAAATATAAGTGTAGTACTTCAGAGTCAGTTACTGTCAGTCAAATCAATTTAGATCTTAAAAGTATATGAATCTATTTTTGACATTGAAAAATGAGAGCAGTTACTGAGATTTTAGCTACTGTGAGATGCACTTTTTAAGAAATGCTGTGGCTATTTATCCATGCTGTAGTAGTCTGTGATAGAAGTTGATGTGACTGTCCTGAGATTTGTATTTCTATATTTAATTTGTGTATATACACCCATATGCATAAGACATTTTTCTGGTCTAAAAAAGAAAGGCCTGTAGTGGAGAGTGCTATCTATTGCCATGTTCAAAGCTGACAGGGGATTTTAAGCAGCTGACATTTGCCTTCACATGTGGGAATTTCCTTCTTCAGCTGTACACAGCAGTTGAGAGATCTCATATGCATTAGCATATATTGTATCCCTTTTGTCTTGTTTGTTTTAGTGCCCCAATGAGCAGCCTGAGTTGGACTTGTGACTACATGCTGAGTTTGACTACATTTTATTAATGTTGTGGGGTTCTTTTTGTATGACAATCTGGTAACTTTAATTAAACATGAAATGATCCTGATCTTATAATAAAAACTACTGATATTTAGTATGAAGAGGAGAATGGAAAAAAGAGCGTAGAAGACAGAACAGTGTATAACTGCTTTTCTTTCCTGATGAATTTTCTCTTAAACATTGATTGTGCATTATATGCTCTACCATCATATCAGGCTGGCATATAGGATGGGGTTAAAGGCAGGAGAAAGATTGTTCTACAAGTAGTGAATGAGTATACTGCTATTTGGAAAAAGGAAAAATAAGTTTCAGCATACCTACTGGAGGTTTTTGCCCTAGAGAAATGCCTCAGCGTGATTTCATTGTATCATAAAGGAAATTTATCTGTGCTAGTTTCAGTGTTTACTATGACATCTCTAATAACTATAAAAGCTTTGTTGCATGAGCAGTTATTGACCTGTATGCTCCAACCACAAGACCATAGCCAATGAATTGACCATAACATAGTTGCTTCAGCAAGCAGCCAGATGTCATTTAAAATGAAAATGTTTAGCTGTGTGGGTTTTTTTTTTTTTTTTTTTTAATCCAGAGAAGCTGCAGCCCTTCAGAGCGAATCATCTGAACCTTTCAGTCTCTCTGCAGACTAGTTAGAGCAATTGTCTGGAAGAATTTACAGTAGTTGAGAGAAATACTTTCAAAACATACTTAAATATCTGGCATCCCATATCAAGAATAAAAACAAATTGAAGAGGCCTTAAGTGGCACCACACTCAAGCATGATTACTTTAACGCGAGCTTTGTGCTCCTTTGTGGGCCACATTACCAGAAGGTGTATTTGGTGTCAAAGGAAAAGCCTGTCTTATTCCTTTAGGGATTCAAATATTGCGATGGGGTGAAAGAGAGTCCAACTGACGCAGGGTGTGGCAGCTCAAAAAAACAATTTTTCATGTTAGAAATTCAAAGTAGGATGATACATTACTCTGTGTATAATACAGAAAGATTAGGGAATATGGACTTTTCCACTGCTTCCTCAGCTAAGCGTTTTTTTCAGTGTAGCATTGCATTTTCCCGTGGTTCTTCAGCTTTCTACTGGACCCTGCATTATCAATTGCTACATGGCACTTTCTCCAGATGGACAGGTCAACTTTTATCATTAAGTATGTTCAGCTTTATGAGAATAGAAATGTATGCGAGTGTAAGAATGCAAAACAAAGGTGCACTGTTTAAAGAGCTGATGGAGTCTATGCACACTTTTTTTTCCTAAGTGCTTCACATCGAAAAACATCTGCTGGTGGTGTCTAAGGAAACATAGTTGGTTTCTCTCTATCCTGTTCCATCTGGTTAAATTGTTGTGTTGTAACTGTGGCCTGTCCTTAAACTGGAAAAAAAAAACATGGCCAGGAGGCTTCATGAGAGCTGGTGTCTGAAGACTTAGTATGAATAATTTCTGAAGCATTCTCTGGAGATGTCCATCTCTTTCCATTGCCTGTAGTAGGAATTAGAGGATGACGATGCTTCTAACTTAGGGCCACCATTAGGTGTACAGTGTTAGATAAGCTGAGTTGAAGCATGTACTAGGTTCTCAACACAGCTTCTTTAGTGTTTTTTTCTTATATTTTTCTATCATTTTTCCCTTCTTGGTCTTTCCTATGACCCTTTCTGTCCCCCATGCTGTCTCACTCGCTGTCTTTTTTCTCTTGTTAGTCTAGCCCAAGTAAGATTCCTTAAGAGAAGTACATATGAAGGTGCAGAGAAGATGGTGATGTTCAACCACTCTCATAATAAATATGAGCATATTGTGCTTCTGGAGCGCTTTTTCTCCAGAGCTGAGAGCAAAAAAAAAAAAAGGCAAAAGGTACATGCCAAAAAGGGAAATCTCTATGTAAAATAGGTACCTATTTCCTCACCAAAGAATGAAAGTCCAAGAGATGTGTAACAAGACTTTGTAATCAAACATTGCGCCATAAATTTCCAACAGAGCAAGACTCCAGGCTTGAAGTCACAGGGAGTGTTTCCATGTGGTGTGGCACCAACTTCAAATTTCAGTTTTTGTTCCACTGCTGTGTAATGAAAAATGAAATCTGTTTTTTGCTAAGACAGCTTAGGGGGACAAGCATCTGATTTTTCTGGAACTTTGGCTGCTATTGTTGCCTTACCTAGATTCCCTCTGAGGAACTCACCTTTCTCTCTTCCCCACTGTGTCTGCAAATTATTCAGGTGTATATTCTTGATATATGTTCCTATTTTCTAATGATTATACCTAATCATTAGGTATAGAGATGTAATAATTACAAGATGCCACTGATTGAATGTAGTACTGTTTAAGACTCACCTTCAGCAGAATATAAGGCATTTGAGCAGTTGATCCAGTCTTTGTATTTCCTTTCACCTTCCTACCCTTTTTAGCTATCTTCGGTTGGAAAAGTGATAAGGTTTGGGGAACAGCAGAAACATAGAATGGTATGGGTCAAGAGATTTCCCGGGAAGTGAGAATTTTTTGTTTTTAGGGGAGAAAGACCAAATTTTCTTGACTTGCCTTGGTTCAGGATAGAAATTACACACATTTCAGTTTAGGAGGAGCTTTCACAAGCAGCAAACAGAAATAATATAGGGCATGTTTTTTTGGTAAACAGAGAGTCCAAGGAACTTCAGTCACAAAATAGGGTTTTTTTTTTTTTTTTAATGTAAAATGTATTCATGCTCATGCTGCAAATGCTGCTCTCTCATCGTTTCCTCACTTCACATGAAAAGTTGTAGAAATGTAGACTTGAAGCAGTTTTTACACAGTTTGTCATAAAAGAGAGCCTCAGTTAATTTATCACACGAACATCTTCGTCTGCAAGGACTCATCAGTTTCATACCAACAGCATTAATTGTAATTCTCAGCACAGTGTGTAAAGGTAAATTATGGATTTATCTGTGTGTACTGCTGCTGCTTGTTTCATCTTGAGAGAGGAAAAAAGCCTAATATTTTGCTCTCTCTGTTTCTGCAGCTTTTGGCAAGGGT